GAAGACACTTGTGGCCGAGGTGCTACAACATACACCGTTAAATAGATAGTAGCCGAGGTCGCTCGTGGCCGAGGCATTACATTTTATTCTGTTAAAGAGATAGTAACCGAGATGTAATATCTATACCATTGAAGAGATAGTATCCGCAGGCACTTGTGGCCGAGATGTTACAACATACATCGTTAAAGAGACACTTGCCGAGGTTACTTGCGGCCGAGGTGCTACAACATATACCGTCAAGTAGATAGTAGCCGAGGTCGCTTGCGGCCGAGGCATTAGATTCTGGTCCGTTAAAGAGATAGTAATCGAGACGTGCAATCTATACTGTTAAAAAGATAGTAGTCGACGTCACTTGTGGCTAGGGTGCTACAACATACATAATTAAAGAGATAGTAGCAGCGGTCACTTGCGACTGAGGCATTCCATTTTATTCCATTTTATTGTGTTGAAGAGATAGCAACCGAGACGCACCATTATAAATATATAGTTCAACATTTCTTAGCGTTACTTGATAATAATATCTACAATATTAGGCGACATACTGCATTCTATCTATATTTATAAAGAAATAGAAGCTGCAATAACTGTCTCAGTCTGCCGACAGGAGACTACGACAACACCCTGAAGATGCCAGGTGAGATCTTGGCGAAACGTCTGCCCCTTTCCAAGGGAAACTAACAGAAAGAACGGATGAATCTCAGACCGACCACAGCAACACATACAGTGTGTTAATTAATTATCATACCCGACATCATCATTGTACCTATGCAACCAATATCACAGTATTTATTTTATAATACGCGATTTGCGTATTGCAATACCAGTAGTGTGATGTTGGTTGCATACTTGTAATGATGACGTCGGGTACGATAATTAATGAACACACTGTGTCTCCATCCGTGAAGCACTAATGCATTAACAATATATACAGGGCTTCCCAAAACTCATGGGACGGAGCTATAAGTTTAGAACGAGTGAAGAAAAAAATTTTAAAATTTGGGAATCACTAGAGTCATAAAAACTACATTCTTAGATAGTTTAGAACTCCCATGCAATGTGGATTTTTTTTAAGGGATGACCACCCCTATATTTTTAAATAGCAACCCCTGTTGAGTTTTACCTTATTTTAAAGGTAATGAAAAAAGAAACACAACCCCATAAACCAAAACCCGATACCTTAAGTCTTTCAAGAATCATGAGGTTTTCTTTCGACTATTTTCAACAAACTTGTTTTCTAAATTTTATTTTTATTAACTCTTAACTTAACTTTTTCTCATTACCTTTAAAGTAAGGTAAAACTCGACAGGGGTTGCTATTTAAAAATGTATGGGTAGTCATCTCCTAATTTAGTGATCCCCAAATTTTCAAATTTTTTTCTTCACTCGTTCAAAAGTTATAGCTCCGTCCCTGGAGTTTTGGAAAGCCTGTATATGTATAGTATGCGTCATAAGTAAAAACAAATTCCGATGTATATATATTATGTTGATTTTTTGCCTGATATTATTATGAATAGTTTATTTGTAATAAATATTATGGTGGTGTCAAAATATCGAAACCAGAAAGAAACAGGTTCGCTTATTAGCAAGTGCATACACTCTCTTGAATTCGATGGGGGCACTTGTCAATCGAGTACAATGCGCCCTAATGACTTTTCGTCGTAGAAAACCCATCTGTTCGTATGTTCGCGGCCGAGTGCGGCATATGGCACGGTCGGGGAACAAACCAGCAAAACTCTGGACCCCCTCAGGCTCTCGGGGTGTAGATGAAACGAATAAATACTCAGTCCGCATTAACAATCGCCCCAAATACTGTGTAGAGAGAGAAGAAAGAACTCGCGGAAATAGAAAGTAAGTATAGTGAGCGAATACGAATCGTTTAGGTTCGGACTTGTATTAGAAGGGGGCTATCAAAGTTTATTTCCACGGTACGCAACTGAACATATGTGCAGGTTATACGATTCATATTGAAAACTATTCGTTGGGATTACGAATGAGGGCCCCTCTTTGTACGGTAATGAACAAAAACTGGGGTTGGTGTTTAAATTGACTGTACATGAGATGAATAATATCAAATTGCACAAAAAAATCGAAATGTTGTAAAACTACAAGATATATAGATAGTAAGAAATCAAGAGAAATCGAAATAAGTTAAAAGAAAATTCGTTCTCTTCTTTTAGATATCGTCTGTCCCAAGACAGGAAGTTGATTGATTACGGGTCATGTCCAGGTCACATGTGGTTATAATTGTCTTCGGATCTCTTGAGGATTGGCGAATCAAAGATACGGAACCGTGACGAATCGACTCTCTTGCACAGATTTTCCATTTATTCTCTCCGAACAACTTTCTTTGTTCGTTTTTAATCAAACAACATCTTAAACCATCATATCATAAAATAAATTTTTTTGCGCAAATATTGTTTTGGTCAAATATTCATCGCTTTTGGTCTGTTCTTAACATATGGACGAGTGGTATTACGTATACCCCCAGAGACTTGTCAATGTTCATTTATCCGCAATACAATACGCATGAAATTCACCCCATGAAAGTTCACCCTTTGTATTTACCGTTATGGATAACGTTACTCACCGAGAATTTGTTTATAAATAAAACTAGTCATAAAACTTAATTCGTAAAATTTGAGAAAAAAAGTACTTTTGAACCAGTACCAAAAAAATAATTAAAAATGCAAAACTTTAAAGTGTCATATCTACTTTGTTTACAAGAGCTATATTGGTCTATATTGGAGATATATTGGTCTTTTACTTTATCATTAAAATTTAGGAGAAAAACATTTTTTAATGGTACCTAAAAATAAGTTAAATTTATTTCAAAATGTAAAACTTTAAAGAATATATATCATATCTACTTTATTTGTAGGAATTAATAAACGATTTTTATGTTCAATTAAAGCTGAAAGTGTCTTCCTTAACCCTTTGTGTCCCAAGAAGTCAAAAATTTTGAAAGTTTGTGAAAAAAATATTGAAATAAAACTTACATTTTCGTATAAGTGTTAAAAAAGATGCTATATTAAAAATTCCTGGAAGCCGTATTTATTGAAATTAAGGAATGAGACTTATTCTAAATTAAAGCTCAAAGCTTTCTCTTTAAAATGATGTATAATAATTGTTGGGTTGGATTGGAAAAATATTGAGAAAAAAAATATTGAAACAAAACTTACATTTTCGTATAAACTAAAAGTGTCAAAAAAGATGATAAATTAAAAATTCCTGGAAGCCGTATTTATTGAAATTAAGCAATGAGACTTGTTCTAAATTAAAGCTCAAAGTTTTCTCTTTGAAATGATGTATAATAATTTTTGGATTGGAATGGAAAAATATTAAGAAAAAAAATGTTGAAACAAAACTTACATTTTCGTATAATCTAAAAGTGTCAAAAAAGATGATAAATTAAAAATTCCTGGAAGCCGTATTTATTGAAATTAAGGAATGAGCCTTATTCTAAATTAAAGTTCAAAGCTTTCTCTTTAAAATGATGTATAATAATTGTTGAGTTGGATTGGAAAAATATTGAGAAAAAAAAGGTTGAAACAAAACTTACATTTTCGTATAAACTAAAAGATGCTAATTTAAAAATTCCTGGAAGTCGTATTTATTGAAATTAAGGAATAAGACTTATTTTAAATTAAAGCTCAATCCTTTCTTCTTAAAATGTATCATTGTATCATTTTTTATATAGATTTTTTCTTGTATAGTAGAAAGTACCGACAGTTCTAAATGCGCCAAATAGATTAAAATGAGTGTTTAAAACTACCGGTACTTTAAAGCACCATCGGGATAAAAAGGGTTAATAATTTCAATAAGAGATTCTTAATTATTTTTATTCTTATTAAAGTAATAAAATGAGATTTTAATGAGATTACACCACAAAACAACAACAACAGATTGTTTCAAAAGGTCCAAAGTACTCTCGGCAATATGTTAAAATCATTTCCCCTATCCTACATAAGAGCACAACGGGGACCCCGTACAATTAAAAACCTTTGGACCATATGCGCACAAACCACCATAAAGTTGACAGGTGCCTTATTCCCCGATGCAACACATAGAGTGAATCCATCCAATTTAACCCCTATTTATCCGAATAGCCAAAGTATTTATAAGAACCATTCGATTCTGCTTTAGTAAAAACATCTCCACCCTTTTTGAAAAAATCATTTTAAATCCTCGGGTCATACATCACGTTATCTTTCGGCGTTAATAACGCGTCCATCGTGCTGGGGAAAAAGCACGAGAATCTTTTCGCGCCGCCAACTTATGGTGTGAGTTGGCAAACATACAGTCCGGGTTTCATCAATCATCGCCCGTAATGAAAACGTAATTTGCTGAACGCCTTTTGTTAGAGAGGGAGCTTATTAATTGCCGGATTCATTTGCGAATCAAGCGTGCTGAGATTTTTAAAAGTTTCTTTCGTCCCGTGTTAAGTGGATCATTTATAACTGATTTTTAGATTATTGATTTGGGTTTCTAAAAGGGGGATTAATCTAAGTTCAAAAATGATATATATAAAGATTTTTTTGGAATTTTTTCAATTAATTTCTTATTATAAGTTTTGAATGCAGGTAAAATCTGGTTGAGAGAGGGGAAAGGGGTTAAGGAACGTCAGACCAAAACCGTGGAAAACTGCGTTCCGTCACATTTTGGAGCTGGTGTACAGTGAAAACCGTATTGGGTGAACGTATTTCGAAACCACGCCCTGCGCGAAAGCTCCATTGGCCTGAAACTACCCCCTTAACTTAAATTCACCCCCTATAGGGTGGATTCGACCGGGTCGTGAGTTCTCAGGATGCCCGCCCCAACAAACTCTTTGTTTCCATCCCTTTCTTTAACCAGCCAACTCGGATATCGTCCCCTTTGTCTGGCAAACTACCACCGGCGAACGATGTAGGAAGGGGCACTAAACATTACAATATTTAGACAGGGCAAGTATGTTTTTACACATTACGTATTTTCGCCTCGAGGTGAACACATTGCGCGAACTCTTGACTTCATCTCCACTCGTTAACATTTAGATAGTTAGAACGTGTAGTATTTGTGCTGTGCGAAACCATGACAATGGACGTAAACAATCGTAAAAGTGAGATTACGATGAAAAATGAAGAGCAAACCCAAATTAGTACCAGTAAGTCCCCAACGAAGCGATCCTTTGACGTTGCCTTCTTAATGTTGCCCGATGAGAAGTTGAAGCAGAAACAAAAATTCTCCAAAGTGATAGATTACGAGGTCATTACAAGCAACGAGGAGATGAGTAGCTTTAACAACAACGAAAACGACTCAGAAGATGAAGACATCGAAGTGGGTAACCCCGATTCCCCAAAAATTATAGACTACACCAAGTTACCCTCGAAATATATAACGCAGAAGCAGCAAATCTTTGATGACCCAAACTTGAGTAAGCCAAAACCAGAAACAAAAATCAAAAACATACTTATGTCCCCAGAAAAATCGGCCTTCACCAAAGTAAGTCTCACAAAAGAAATGAGAATGTCCAGCTCCCCCAACCTATCAATCAGCCCCGATATAGCTTATCAAAACTCCTTAAGCCCATCCCCACCAATAAACAGAAATTACCAAAATTTCCCATCAAACATGATTCCACCAAATCAAATCTTCAAATCGAACTCATATCATCACAATTTCATCCCGGAGAATTTCCCCCAATCAACAGGCGGGTTAGAGCCTCATTTTTTGATGAAAACCAATCACCAAGAACTACAAAAAATCAGACCGATGATGTTGACTCAATATCGCCCCGATTATTACCACCAAGTCCCTAACCAAGAAATGTTAAAATTAGCCCAACCAGATTTAAAATTTTCTTCAGAAATGAGACACCCAGCCGCCGCTATCTTAACATCCCTCCTCCCTCCATCTTTAGCCGCGTTATCTTTACCGGCGCAAAACGTTTGCGCGAAATGCAACATTTCATTTCGAATGACGTCCGATTTGGTGTATCATATGAGGTCGCATCATAAGAATGATTCGGGTGATTACACTAAACGAAAACGGGAGGAGAAATTAAAGTGTCCCGTTTGCCAGGAGTCTTTCAGGGAGCGGCATCATTTAACGAGACACATGACTGCTCATCAAGATAAGGATAACGATGATGAAGAAATTGGGAAGAAAAATAATTTTCCTGTTGGTTATAATAAGTAAATTGTAATTATTACAACTAAAACGAATTTGTTGTTGTTTTTTCTTGTAAATAATTTGTAAATATGTAAATGTATCTTAATCATGTTGTTATCGTGCAATACCATTTATGTATAAAGGATAATTGTAATAGCGAATATTAAAAAATTAAGGTTAATAAAAAAAAAAACGAAAATGTGTAATAAAGCAATAAATAAAGAGAAATCAATTTCGAAACGTACTTTTTATACATATTCCCCACGCTTTATACCATCGTCTGATGAGGTAAGTGTAAACGATACGGAATAACGACGTTTTGCCGTTCCCTCTGATTTAACGCAATTATTTAACCCGCTCTCTCTCTCTCCTGGAAACAATAGGCACACGGGGGAGGGACACTGAAATCAAGAGCCGCTCATTTCGCGAGCGTTTTAAAGAGTTAATGACGCGCAAACCTCGCGATAAGGCGCCTCTTGCACTTGGTAATATTCGACAATGGCAGCGTCGCTGTTGTCTGTTGTAAATATTTTAATGCATTTTTATTTCTGTACGAGTGAGAGACGATAAGCCGCGCAATGTTCTCTTCCAAATTTTATTATCCTTTTTTTAAGGCTCTTTCCAACCTAAAATGTTAGTGATGAAACATTAAATTAAGTTTTTGGTTGTACAAAAAATTGGTAGATCATAGAATTTGAGTGTTGTTTCTAGTTATACAATTATGGAATAATTAACATGAGATAAGGCAACGTGGTTATAGATCTGCATTGTTTCTATCCCTGTATTACTGAAAGTAGATGACTTCGTCTCCAATTATGATTGTCTCAGCGTTTAGGTGTTAAGCACCATCTCTTCTTAAATACCAGGGATGAGTGATAGATCTCCTGGCATTCATGTAAGAGACAATCCCAAATGACCAAAGCAACGAGTCACTCTGGGGAACTTGAGAAGTAGCTTACTTCTAACTTAAGTACTATACCCAGAGGAGACGTACTCACTATTAGCTGTGGAAGTGTGACTGTTAAGATGACTGGAAATAGGAATCATTCCGATTTCACGTGGCTAGGAATGATATCTTTATGGTGATGCAACTGCTATTTACGGATACGAGATTAGCCCAGAACTCACTTGAAAGGAGTAGCAAATGTGAGTATGTGTCTAAGAACACGGACATAAGAGTCTAGGTCTTTACAAACAATGCCATACCTAGATATATCTACACTATAGTGAAATGTAGAGTTACTTTTTTACTGAAAACCTCGCCTCTAACTAATTTCGTCGGAGCTACGTGTGTTAAAACAGCTTTACCACTAAAATGAGCGAATAACATGAATGCGACAGTTCTGCAAGATTACGTTCAAATAATCATAACTCTGAAATTTGAAGATTTGAAGAAACTATCTTCAAAGTGTTGAATAATAAATAAATTTGCTTTAAATTCCTTTTTATTTCATAATGATATCTCAATTAGTTTTTGAGATACGTAAAGATTAATTACCATAACATTTTTGTTTGAACCAACCCAACCCTAATATTATGGTTATGCAAGGTTGCGTTCAAATAAACATAACTCCCAAATTTGAAGATTCCAAGAAATGATCTTCAACACATTAAATAATAAATAAATTTGCTTTAAATTGTTTTTTATTTCATAATGATATCTCAATTAGTTTTTGAGATACGCAAAGATGAATTACCCTAATATTTATGATTGAGGTTATGCAAGGTTGCGTTCAAAAAATCATAACACCCAAGTTTGAAGATTTGAAGAAATGATCTTCAACACATTAAATAATAAATAAATTTGCTTTAAATTGCTTTTTATTTCATAATGATATCTCAATTAGTTTTTGAGATACGTAAATATAAATTACCCTAAGATTTATGTTTATGGTTATGCAAAGTTGCGTTCTAAAAATGATAACTCCCAAATTTGAAAATTCCAAGAAATGATCTTCAACACATTAAATAATAAATAAATTTGCTTTAAATTGTTTTTTATTTCATAATGATATCTCAATTAGTTTTTGAGATACGCAAAGATGAATTATCCTAATATTTATGATTGAGGTTATGCAAGATTGCGTTCAAAAAATCATAACACCCAAGTTTGAAGATTTGAAGAAATGATCTTAAAAATGTTGAATAATATATAAATTTGCTATAAAGTGTTTTTTATTTCATAATGATATCTCGATTAGTTTTTAAGATACGTAAAAATGAATTACCCTAATATTTATGATTGACGTTATACAAAGTTGCGTTCTACAAATCATAACTCCCAAACTTAAAAATTTCAAGAAATGATCTTCAACACATTAAATAATAAATAAATTTGCTTCAAATTGCTTTTTATTTCATAATGATATCTCAATTAGTTTTTGAGATACGCAAAGATGAATTATCCTAATATTTATGATTGAGGTTATGCAAGATTGCGTTCAAAAAATCATAACACCCAAGTTTGAAGATTTGAAGAAATGATCTTAAAAATGTTGAATAATATATAAATTTGCTATAAAGTGTTTTTTATTTCATAATGATATCTCGATTAGTTTTTAAGATACGTAAAAATGAATTACCCTAATATTTATGATTGACGTTATACAAAGTTGCGTTCTACAAATCATAACTCCCAAACTTAAAAATTTCAAGAAATGATCTTCAACACATTAAATAATAAATAAATTTGCTTCAAATTGCTTTTTATTTCATAATGATATCTCAATTAGTTTTTGAGATACGCAAAAATGAATTACCCTAATATTTATGTTGATGGTTATGCAAGGTTGCGTTCAAGAAATCATAACTCCAAAGTTTGAAGATTTGAAGAAATGATCCTAAGAATGTTGAATAATAAATAAATTTGCTTTAAATTGATTTTTATTTTATGATGACATCTTAATTAGTTTTTGAGATACGTAATGATGAATTACCCTAATAATTATGTTTATAGTTATGCAAGGTTGCGTTCAAAAAATCATAACTCCCAAGTTTGAAGATTTGAAGAAATGATCTTAAAAATGTTGAATAATAAACAAATTTGCTTTAAATTGTTTTTTATTTCATGATGATATCTCAATTAGTTTTTGAGATACGTAAAGTTAGATTACCCTAATATTTATGATTGAGGTTATGCAAGGTTGCGTTCAAAAAATTATAACACCCAAGTTTGAAGATTTGAAGAAATGATCCTAAAAATGTTGAATAATACATAAATTTGCTTTATATTGTTTCTTATTTCATGGTAATATCTCAAATAGTTTTTGAGATACGTAGAGATGAATTACCCTAATATTTATGTGTATGGTTATGCAAGGTTGCGTTCAAACATTCATAAGTCCCAAGTTTGATAATTCCAAGAAATGATCTTCAACACATTAAATAATAAATAAATATGCTTTAAATTCTTTTTTGTTTCATAACGATATCTCAATTAGTTTTTGAGATACGTAAAGGTAAATTACCCAGCATTTATGTTAACCTTGCATAAGGTTGCGTTCAAAAAATCATAACTTCCAAATTTGAAAATTCCAGGAAATGATCTTCAACACATTAAATAATAAATAAATTTGCTTTAAATTGCTTTTTATTTCATAAAGACAAGAATTTTTTCAACCGTTATTTAAAAAATATTGAAAATTTTGAATGATCAAAACTTGGTTTGTTCAATTTTTTGGATAAATTTGTGTGATTAGTTTAGTATAAAACTAATAATTTAAAATAATATAAATATAAAATAAAATAGAACAAGATTTCGTTGTGGAAATACACAGCAACACGAGCACAAGTGCAATAAATTAAGGACGCTGTCCCGGATGCGTCGGCGATAACGGAACGGGGATTGAAATAATTGATAAGCAGATTTTTTTGTATCCCCGTGCGGGCAAATCGGATTAGTTTTAGTATTTAAATAGCCGGGCGTCGTCATCGCACCCCGCGCCGCCTCATTCCGGGTCTCCGGATCCCGGTCCGGTCTCTCTAATAAATCAGTAATTACACTTATCTAATCTTCTTGTTCCAATGCGTCCGTTCGGATTTTCACTTCGGTTCAATTTACGGCCCCGCAAACTTTAATCACATTTTATAATCTATCGGATTTCTATTTAATACCCTTCTCTTCGTGCATCGTCTCGCAGGTTACACCCTAGGTCACACCTTTACTCTATTTTTTGCAACAACTTTAATTAGCTATCCCTTTTTCAATTCCCCATTCCCCTTTCATTTTCTTTCCTGTGTATCTTTATAACTACAACGCGATTTGTTGGAGCATACGGTAATGAATTAGTGTTTCCCATGTCAAAATTTATACCATAACGAGACGTCATCATCATCTTCCTCTGGGTATGGTAGATATTTCAAGAATCATAATGTGGGGACATATTCTCCCATGTAATCACGTGTCACGGTTACTTTAGAACACTGATTCAAACGTCCTGCGTTTACAAGGTGTAAAGAATCGATTATTATTCGATGTGGGGGAATCGACAAAGAAGTAGAGGGGCTAACGATTGGTTACGCCACGGCACGTGACTACTATTTGTTCCGTTTCCTCGTTGGCACATTAATTTTAGATCATTTGATTCGTATGTGTGTACTCGATTGTGAATAGACGATTTATTAATTAACATAATTTTGTTTTTCTATGTTTGATACAATGGTTTCAACGGAATTTCAACATTAACATTGTTGTAATCTGCTACCTTTATTTGTGACATCAGAAAGTTAATGAATCATAGGTTTTTAAAAATTTGTTGCAAAAACCATAAAAGGCTAAGACTACTCTAATTAATATCTCGAAAACGAATAGGAATTTTTAAGTTCGCTTTTCACCATGAAAAAGAACATACTGTATTCTATAAACACTAAAAATTTTATCCATGAATGTTAAAAATTAGATTTTTTACAATTTTTTTAAAACGATGAAAAAAACTGTTGTCGTTATGAAGTCATTAGAAATAAAACATTAATATCTCGAAAACGAATACGAATTTTTAAGTGCGGTTTTCACCATGAAAAAGTACATG